GTCTGTTCTCAATGAAGGTGGTATCACTATTCTGTCCTTATATATGATGACTCCATCGATAGTGGAGAGGTTGTTACGGAACTGATGATATTCTCTCAGGGGAACTGGAAGATCGTTTCGTGTTTCTGGGATGCCACTTTCAATCATCTGTACGAGCTGGAACATGTACTCGTCGCTTGTTGTGGCAGTCCTTATTCTATCCCAGGTTATACACTGAAGTGAGGTGACTGATGACAATGCTGTCGAGTAGAAGATAGCTTCGCTACTTTTCAATGGGATTTCCAGTGTGTCATCTGCGATTTTGTGATTATGTGTTTGGATGGTATGTTGCGCCTCATTCTTGTTGCAGATATGAACAGAAGCAATATCATCGATTAAAACCATGCTATCAGATTTCCCAACTGGGTGACGAGAAACGGTATCAGCAGCTCGATGTTTGGCGCCGGGCACGTGTAACATTGTGAATTTGTAACGTAGAGTTTTCTCTTTTAGGTTACGAAGTCTTGAATTAGGAATATCTTCTAGTGATCTGTCACCAAAAAGTTTGATTAAGGGCTTGTGATCCACAGCGATGATTAGCTTGTCACATCCGAGAACAAAGTATCTCGCTTTTTCTAAAGCATCAGCAACCGCAAGTGCTTCGCCTTCTACGGGGGCATATCTGGATTCGGTGGCGCTAGTGAACCTGCTCCCAACAAGAGTTATTTTCCATCCGTCTCGGCAACAGAATGGCACGGTTTTGGAGCAATTGCAATGTTTTTGGAAAAGCCAATATCCGATGCCATTCTTTGACCAATCTGTGGCAAGACAAGTTGGTTTATTCTTGTCAAATATCTGGACGCCGTGTTCTATTTCACTGATAATAACTGCTTTTGATTCTTGAAAAAGACGCTCTAGAGTGTCATCCCAGCAAAATGGAGTTCCAGGTTTGAGCAGTTGTCTGAATGCTTGCATCCTGTCAGTCATGCTGAATGCATATGACACTTGATTTACAAGGCCGAACCAAGATCTCATATCAGTTATGTTCTTAGGTGAAGGGAAGTCCAGAATTGCTTCAAGATAACGGCTGCATGGTCGCACACTGTCACGAGTAATTTCAAAGCCAGCAAACTGAACAGTATCTTTTGCAAACACAAATTTGTCAGGGTTCAGAATGATACCATTTTTTCCACAGGTTTCTAGCCAATTGCACGATTGAAAGAAACTTTGCTGGATACTGTCCGACCAAAGAAGAGCATCATCTATACACTTTGTTTTGTCAGGAATGTCAGATACAATTTCGTCAAAGCGGCGTGTATATCCATCTCCGGAGGCTATGTATCCTTGAGGCGCTGTCTTATATCTGTATCTGCCCCATGGTGTGATGAAGGTGGTCAAGTGCTTGTCCTCTTCACGGATAGGCACACTATGGTACCCATTCCAGGCATCGAAGACAGTCTTTTTAGTGTGACGTGGAACAGAGCGAGCTTGATGAAATGGGGATTGTGTGTGGTGAGTTTCCCTCACTGCATGAACATTTAGTGCCTGAAAGTCTACTGTCCGTCGCGGTTTGCCATTCTTCTTTGCACAGACGACCATACGATGACACCATGTAACTGGTTCCCCGACCGGAACAGGCTCAATAACGCCGAGTCGAACATCTTGATCTAAGCCTGCCTTCACTTCATCCTGCCAGTGTAATGGTACTGGGACTGGTGTATGATGAGCAACAGGTGTGGCGTCAGGGTCCACCATGAGCCGCATCGGTGGGCCTGACATGTGCGGAAGTGGTTGGTGCTGACATGTATTGAAGGTGCTGGATTTGTACCAGTCTAGTAAGTACTGTTGCAGTTTCTCCCGGTTCGCTTCGGTTGCTGGGAACGGCAGAACCGATGGTGCAGGCAGTGGTGTTTCGCGTTTAGGACACTTGCAGTCGTCACTGTCTATACGTAATGTGGTTGTAGAATCCACAGAAGATGTCGATTGTGAACCGTGGTGTGCATAATCATCTTGTGTACTTGGGGAGGACACAGATTCGCTGATGGTCTCTATAATTTCGTTGTTGATGTTACGTGCTTCACCAATAGTTGGAAAGTTCGGTGTTATCATGCCAAGTGATGCACACGCTTCTCTACTAAGAAACACTTTGTCAGAGTTATTGGTAACGTACACAATTTGGGGAGCTTCATAAGTTTCACCTCTCGTTCCTTTGCCAGATATGCGGAGGATGACTGCCCCAAGGATTCTTATGCTGACGTTGTTAGCAGCATGCATCTTCATAGTCACTGGGATCAAATGTTTCTCTGAGATGCCAAGCCGATGTAGCACCTTAATGCCGGCTAGGCAGCTTTGGCAACCTGTGTCAGCCATGGCGGTGATGGTAGCTGTCTTTGGTTTCGGTATGATCTTTGGGTCAATGCCGAAGTGGTCATAGTCTTTAGGGTCAACACGAGCAGTCACATGCATAAAAGGCTGAGGCTGTGACGGCTGGCGAATCCAAGTGTCTGATAGCTGATTGTAAAGATGATGATCAAGTTGAACAACATTTCTACCATAGTTATTGTCATGACTGGTTGCGGCGCAAAGTGAATCAAACACAGCACTTTCCTGTTCAGTCTTAGTGTTTGTCACATTTTGTTTGCCTCTGCATACAGACTCAAAGTGGTTCATTCGCTTGCAATTGTTGCATGTATGACCATATGCAGGGCACTCTTTTTTGCGAGTTTGTGGCGTTGCTTTGGCACCATGACCTTTATTTCCACAATAGGTGCACAGTGTCTCTTGTTTTTCAGTTTTCTTAGTCACTATACGAGCGGCACTCTTATTGCGGCGATATGAACTGCTAGCTGCTTCTGCTCCTTGAGAAACAAGTAGTTTAGATGCAGAACGTTTACCCGATTCTTTGGCTTCAACGAATTGAAATGTTTGTTCAAGTGTCATGTTTTGATTTCTTTCCCCAAGGAGATCAAGTTGAATCTCAGAGTCGTTGAGTCCACGAATAAGCACATCACGTAAGATTGCGTCAGTATAGTTGACTTCGTTGTCGCAGCTGGGGCATGGTATTAAAAACTTGCACACACCTGCTTGTCCGCGTAGTCGAGCCCCAAATGAGCGCACAGTTTCTTCATGGTCTTGTGTCATGTTGTTCAGTGCTACCCGAGCTACCATGGTATTCTCTTCACGCACAGCTAGGATCCTGATGGCTGTTAATACATCTTCTTGAGACTTATCCGTCAGCGAGCCACCAGCTGATCTTGTGAGGTCTCTCCGTAGATTCTCATCGCAACACTCAAGAAGCTGTATAACAAGTTCCTTTTCCTTTATTTTAGTGGCTTCTACGTAGTCTTTCCATCGTGAGAGGAAGTATGACCAATCTTCACTCGTGCCAGCGGATGTAATGGTGGGCCGTTTGACTTTTTCCACTTTATTACAGCTTGCAGAAGTCGAGGCTGCTGTGTGTACTAGCGCATGGGTAGTCAAAAGTGCAGCAACGATTGCAGCATCTAAGTCATCTGTTTCAAAGTCACAGTCTGGGATTGGACACTTCACTGAAGGCATCTTGTTTGTGTAGTTGTTGCTGTTATGTGTTGTTAGTGGTCTCTCAGTGGATTGAATCCTCCATCATAGATAAGTAGGCCGATACTATTTTCAGATAACTTTATTATCCAAAATGATGGAGGTCTGAAACATACAAAAAGTAACATTGTAAATAAAATCAACTATCTGTTGGTAAGACATAAGTAATAGACTAACAAGTAAATACATAATCCAGATCGCTATTACTAGGGAAATTTTACAGAGGAAAATTAATCTAGGAATTTATATATATATAGCACTAACTTTTACAAGTTAACACTGTTTTTATTTCTAACTAGTTGAATATGTGTTTTCAAAAGAAATTGAACAAGCCATTTCTGTGCTAATTATGATGCGTAACCAATGACAGAATCAGGTATGGAGAATAAAAGTGATCTAAAAGCGTACAGCTTATACTGATCGGAGATTAGATGAATCGGGTGAAGAGACAAACCTGTCTTATATTTAATTTCTTTCTTCTAATTGTGTTTTGCCCTAGTTTTATTGAATTTGACTTTAAATTGTGGTTATGTTGACATGTGTTTTCTTGTTGCTTTAGTAAATTAGATTTACAATGGATGAAAAATATCTAATTTGTTGAACAAAAAATAAAGTAAACTGAATATCTTATTTGATAAATTAGAATTGTTGGTAAACATAACTCATTAAATCATTCTCATTTGATATAAATGATACCTAAAATGATCATTTTCTTAATTCTTTATTAATTCAGATATTGTATTAACGTTAATAAAGTGATATTTTAAACAAATAAGATATCTTATTTAAGAAGCCATACGTTTTATTCAATTTTGTGGAAAACTTATCAACATTGCTTGATGAACAGACAACTCTGTTTGCCAATGTTTACACTCAATCCGGACAAAATTGTGTCTTCGTTTTCTCTTTAGAAAATGCATTTTTTGACACTCGGAACTCCTCGAATGTGACCAACGCTACATGTTGTGAAGCACACCCGAGGAGTTCCGAGTGCCCTTTTTGAGCGTCTATTTAACCATAATCAGTCTCATTTTAATGTTTTGAAACTAAAAACAACAGGAAGAAGGAAATTAACGGATTTGATTGCTCATTGTAGAGTGACAGTGAACAAAGCAACGCTAAAATAATAAGAAATTATTTTGTGTTTTATATGAATAAGATCATTTGCTTCGTTTAACTCAAAGCGGTTCTCAGTTAACCTAACCGACACAGATATTCGAAACCGAAAGTAGAAAATACCCACCTGAAACTGTGTAAGTATGGAAGTCATTATATGTAGTCTAAAAATAGTCATTTTACCTCATGAGCTAATTATACTGTGGAATGGAAAACCACATTACTGCTAACGTTCCAACTAGAACATCATTATTTTATTGAGTAAGTAACGCCTAAACGCTTGTATCATATTTTCTTGATAAAGTTGCAATTTAATAATTGTGAAAGAGATGACATTGGATACCATGTACGAAGTTCGTCACAAGTTATGTTTGAAAGACACCACAGTAAGTACATTGTGATTGTATGATAGAATACAGAAGGAATGCAGCCTTACCAAGTCAATATATGAAATCTGATGTTTGCTTTGTAGTACATTATCAGATGATAACAAAAAATGTGATATAAGATTTTGTAGCTCTTGTTGAGGGGATGATTTTTATATGGCCTCATCAGAGTTATGATTGTTCCCATGATTCTTTCCATGAAGGCTTAAGGCGAAAAATGAGACGTATTTAATATGTAAGTGTCATGTTAGTGTAGCAGGGTTATCCCCATTCTCGGAACTCCTGTCTATATTTGGTAGCGGGGACGTGTTTACATCGCTGAGCGATTCACACAGTACAATTCTAGGAATTTTACCGTCTCTAGTCCCCCAAAGAGTGAGTTTATTGCCCCATACAAGTTCAAGAATTATGTTCTTCCAATTGTTGTAATATAGTCACTGCCTTTGATACGCTACGCAAGTTGGAACTTATTACCAATCTGCCGATTTTTCCACTGTCCCATTTCGCCCCATAATGTTTTCATCCTGAATCGACCCACTATTTGCTCCCATCTCAATTATGTGTTCTTTCTATGTTTTTGCTAAATATGAGCCGTAGTAGATTTTTCGCAATTACTCGTGTTGTGTGCCCAAATTTTGGTAAGTGACTTATGAGTGTTCATTTTGTTCTTTCAGTTTTTCACTACATACATGCTCACATCCATAGTCTGATCTAAATACATACATCGATCAACATGTTGTACTTCGTTTGACTTCTGCGTGTTAGAGACATACTTGAAGTATTGCTTTTTCTGGAATAAAATCGAAGCCAACATTTCTACATGCTTCAAGCGTTTTTCATTTTCATCGATCACAGGCTTGATAGTAAGAGATAAATAATTACCATGAAATTCAAATGTACAGAAAAATTTTATCAATGTATGCATGAATTTTTAATTACATTTATATAATAAATACTCAATGTAATCGAATGCCTTTACATTTTGAGAGAAACACAACTGATTTAAAAAGTTTCTGAGAGGTAAACGATTATTTCAGTTGTAACAAAATGACACACTTGCCTTAAATATACTGTTAGGTGTCCCTTTAATCAGGTAACATTCTAAATCCATCCAGGGATCAATTTATACAGGCTCTGGATGTAGGAAAGTTTTATCTGTAATGAGAACCAACTGGGAATACTTGACATCTGCTCCTTAAAATGTAAGCCACACCCATTTGGGGTAAAAATGAAGATGGATATATTGTGGGAACAGTGTTCAACTCTTTTTAACATTTTCCAGTATATCGAAAACATTTCATTCCAAAGTAAAAGCATTAGAAATAACCATTGTTCCCTTGTTCCTTGGGTGTAAACACCTTATAAGAGAAAATATTTTGGAGCACAATATTGTGTTCTCAGAAGCATTTCTTGGCCAGCTGGCAACTCATACTTGACGGTACATATATCTTTATGCCTAAGAGTTCTGATCACAAACTTCAGAGAATCTCCTACTGTAGTCAGAAGAAGCATTTAGAATTTAATACATGTCTATATAACAATAAAAAAGTAATTGATTGATTTCTTTATTTGTAGAGAAAACAACCTGAAAACATCCATATTGATATTCCTGGTTTGATGATGTCCCGAGACGCAGAAGAGAATGAGGTAAACACAGAACTCTATAAAAATACATTACATGTAGTATGATGTAGGAATCTAATTCAGTTTGGTTATTTGTGGTGGTGTTTTTTGAACATTATTCTCCAACTTTCAATGATAGATATGACAGATTTATTTTTACAGCTTTAGGATGCAATCAGGTTGTAGCTCAGCCAAGTTTCACTGCACACAATTCAAACATTACTGCTATACACGAGAAGTAATATAATCATCTTGCTTAAATAATAAGATTTCTATATTTTGTGATTGATCATGTGTCTACTGCTGTCAACCAACAATAAGTTGAACACATTGTATTGTAGCTGGGCTGACCACTATCTATACAGTTAAAAAAATGCTGTGCCAGGAAGGGCATCCATGCACTTCTTTTTAAATCTGTAAAGCACCACAATGATGAGCATTGTCAGTATTAATGAAGCTTTCAGGTATGGACAATGTGCTTGTTGAACGAGCATGAGATATCTAACCAGCTATTTTGTGTAGTGATTAAAATGAATTTTTTGTTTCAGGACACAAGTTATCAACCAATTCCCAGTCTAAGTAAGTCACGCCGCAGAGTATTTTGTTATCCTATACTTTAAGTTCTGGGTATTTTTATTGAAGTGAAGAATTATGTGGATGGAAAGAAATGAGATCTCAAAATCTCAATTTTTTTCTGTGCTTTATGAAAGTAAATTTCTGTTGTAAGTTAGATAGTTATAATGTCATTATTTCATCTTTGATATTGGTTTACTTACTATTTTTTTGTTTGTATTTACGGTGGTAAGTTAAAAATTATTTGCTCGCTGCAATGGTTTTGCTGTGTATGTTGATGCTAAATATAAACTACTATTGATTTAGACTTGGAGAACCTGGGATCAGATATGATGAAGTTGATGGACAACCCAGAAACAGAGACGTTAATGAACCAAATTCTTGGTGGCCCTCATAATAGTAGATTCTTGGACAGTGCTGAAAGCTCCCTCAGTAGTCATATGTCACAGGGCTCGCAAGCCTCACTGAACTCTAATGAGCAACAGCAGTCCAAACCATCACCGTTTGTGTCAATTTTACCCCCCATTCAACAACCAGGTAGGGTTCTTATTGCATAAGGCAATTTTAAGGATTCCAAACACAACAAGAAAAAGTCAGCAATTCAACAAAATCACTGTTAAAACTTGTTGATGAAGTAAGCAAAATATGATTGAAGGAAATATGAATAGAGAGATTCCTGGAAAAGTACAGGGAAAATTTAGGCAGGTTGAAATGCAATCAGGTAATCTGGTCCTACATATTGAATAAATATTTGGAGCAGAGTAATTAGATATTAAGTAAATGTTTGGAACAGGATAAAACATTTATCAGATAGTCCTAAATATGCAGTACTGTTTGGAGTAGAGTTTGTATTGTTATTTGTTCTCTATTCCAGCAGCAGCATCTAATCCATCTATGGAGGTTTTCCTGGTCAACTCCATCATCAGATTTAGGTATGACTCTGAACTGAACAATAGGCGCACAGGAAAAGAGGAGCTGCTCAAAATTAAGGTACCTTTTTATAGATTTAAGATGCATGTTGTAATAATGGAGGTCAATGTTACGATTCCCCTTTACACTGTGATTAGAAATGTTTGTGCTATTTTGTTTTACTGGAATCGAGGTCAGTGTTACAATTCCCCTTTACACTATGATTGGAAATGTTTATACTATTTCAGTTTACTGGAGTAGAGGGCAATGTTACAATTCTCCTTCACACCGTAGACACCATCAACAAGAAGGCACATCCCTACTGGTTGATAGGAGACAACTGTATTAATGGCATGTTTGTAGCAAAAATGCCTATCACCAAGGCAACCAACTATGAATGGTAAGTCAAATGTATAATTGTTTATCCAGAATTTCCATTATATCATACACTAGACTTTAGATAGTATATACCAACTGATATGATGTTGAGTATATGTCAACTGATATTATGTTGAGTATATGCCAACTGATATGATGTTGAGTATATACCAACTGATATGATGTTGAGTATATGTCAACTGATATTATGTTGAGTATATACCAATTGATATGATGTTGAGTATATACCAACTGATATGATGTTGAGTATACGTCAACTGATATGATGTTGAGTATACTTCAACTGATATGATGTTGAGTATATGTCAACTGATATGATGTTGAGTATATGTCAACTGATATGATGTTGAGTATATGTCAACTGATATGATGTTGAGTATATGTCAACTGATATGATGTTGAATATGTGTCAACTGATATGATGTTGATTATATGTCAACTGATATGATGTTGAGTATATGTCAACTGATATGATGTTGAGTATATGTCAACTGATATGATATTGAGTATATGTCAACTGATATGATGTTGAGTATATGTCAACTGATATGATATTGAGTATATGTCAACTGATATTATGTTGAGTATATGTCAACTGATATGATGTTGAGTATATGTCAACTAATATGATGTTGAGTATATGTCAACTGATATGATGTTGAGTATATGTCAACTGATGTGATATTGAGTATATGTCAACTGATATGATGTTGAGTATATGTCAACTGATATGATGTTGAGTATATGTCAACTGATATGATGTTGAGTATATACCAGCTGATATGATGTTGCGTATATATCAAGTGGTATACAGATCTACATGTACAGGAATGTTGAGTATACAGATATTCCAATTGATAGTGATATACAACTCCATGTATACATGACATGTAGAATATATATCAACAATGGACATTTGATGAGGTCAGTATTGTTTTATGTTAACCTAGTACTTACTATGGGCAAATCACAGCCATACAACTCAAATCACAATACACACATCTGCAATGGTATACAAAAGAAATGTAAAGCTTTCCTGTAATGGCTAAAATATTCATTTTTTTTACATACAATAGATAAGTTCCTGAACCAAAAACATTTTCACAGATATTGTACATTATGCAACACATATTGTAAATTATAGGAAACCACAATTACATAACAGACATACAATGCATATGCAGTGCAATACATATCTGAACAGAACAGAGTTTTGTACAAACAGTGTATCTTATCCCTTTCATGAGGAGAGATGGGGCCTAATAGAGGAAGCAGATACATGTTTTAAATACTCTTCCTTTGATTTAAATTAATCAATTTCGTTAAACTAAGCCAGACAAGTGGTACAGGCCCTGTGGGCATTTTGGTTTAGTCCACTAAGCAACAGATATCTGTAAATAAGCATAATAATTGTTTCAATCCAGGTTCTTTAGTTTTGCATTAGGTCCTAGATGAACAGGTTCATTATGCAATTACATTGCAATGTAAAACTATTTGTTCATTTTTTTTGTTTATTTTTGGTAAATGTTCTTCAAAAATCAGGATAGTTTTCATACACTGTTAGTAGTGTATAGTGAAAGAAGAATTGTAATGGAAAATAGTGTTAACCATTGAAATATATCTGTAAGTTACGTCATCAGCCTCATAGTGCAGGATCAAGGTTACAGGGTGGGCAGCTGGTGTGCATGAATGTAAATAAGTTTTCAAGTGTGTAGAAAAGAATCAGAGTGAAGGAACACAGAGAGTTGTACTATGATTTTGATCGAGGAGAATGTATGAAGATCCCAGGAAGCACGAGACAAAATCTTAGAGTCAAGAATTGAGAAACTGATGCATACATGCTATTTCACTTTGTTGCATTGCAATGTAAATGTAAATACAAAAAAAATGTAGTGATTTAAGCTGTTGTAAGGTTGGATAGTGAAAAGTGGAATTTTAATTTGCTACATATTTATTTGTAAAAGCAGTATCCAAGTCATTTATAAGTTTACATATGTTGTGTGGCAGATAAGACCTATTGCAACATGTATATTTAATTGTTAACTCCCTTCCGATTGTCTCATTCACACCTCCACCAGGACTTTCAGTACTTTGATATATATATCTTATGTGTTTTCTATAGCACCTGCAAAGCTACCCTGAAAATTCCAAAACGAAATGAGTACCAGTCTAGCCTGCAGGGCCGTCAAAGGGAAGCTGAGAGTCTGAGCCTCTTCATGAAAAACGGTACTGTTGTGATTATTCAAAATGTTTGTAGCACATTACTCCCATAGAGAATTTCAAATCTTAGATTTTTACAAAAACTCTTCAACTACATGTAATCTTCACTGAAAGTTTTGTTAGTGTTAGCTAAAGGTTAATAGCTGAACAGCACGCCGGAATGGTCCGAAATACATGAATCTTAACCATTCCCTTCTTCCTTATCAGAAAACCTAAGAATGTCGATGAAATTGTGTAATGTGGAAACAGCCTAGAATCAAAGACATGAAATGGATGTTCAAAGATGTCTCAGCTTTGAAACAAATTATTGTCTAACATTTTTTCATCTTTGCCAGAGGTTTTTTTCTCTCATTTGGAAAAGTGCCTTTGAGTTCTTTTTGGAAGAAAATTGATCTATTCAATGGAAATTTGAAGTTGTGAATGATAATTTTTTTTTAGTTTTGATATATTATGAAATAATTCAGTTGGGAATTAGGGCCCATATTTGGTTCCACAGAGTCTGCAGAAAAACCTTGTTTTGTAGTTTGATAGCTCACCTGCTGGATAAGCAAGGTTATGCTGTAGAGCAGAATGTGTCATCCATCCATTGGTAGTTGTCAGTCCTTTTTCTGTCCACAGTGAATTTTCCATTCTCAGAACATTTTATCAATATTAGTCCTGTAGTATGCTGGGATGAAGGTCTACTTAGTTTGTTCACATGTGTGACCTTGACCCACTATCAAGGTCACAGGGGTCAAATGTGTTAGCTTGCTTGAAGAAAAAAATGTTAAGTTTGCATAAATTGACTTGATTGTATAATCTGCAGAATATGTGAGTGATTCAGGCCCATTGGGCTTCTTATTGTCAAAAGTTTCTCAATTTGGCGATAGTTTAATGTCAAAAGTTTCTTAATTGTTCTGATGGTATGTTGTCAAAAGTTTCTTAATTTTTCTGATGGTATGTTGTCAAAAGTTTCTTAATTGTTCTGATGGTATGTTGTCAAAAGTTTCTTAATTTTTCTGATGGTATGTTGTCAAAAGTTTCTTAATTGTTCTGATGGTATGTTGTCAAAAGTTTCTTAATTGTTCTGATGGTATGTTGTCAAAAGTTTCTTAATTGTTCTGATGGTATGTTGTCAAAAGTTTCTTAATTGTTCTGATGGTATGTTGTCAAAAGTTTCTTAATTGTTCTGATGGTATGTTGTCAAAAGTTTCTTAATTGTTCTGATGGTATGTTGTCAAAAGTTTCTTAATTGTTCTGATGGTATGTTGTCAAAAGTTTCTTAATTGTTCTGATGGTATGTTGTCAAAAGTTTCTTAATTGTTCTGATGGTATGTTGTCAAAAGTTTCTTAATTGTTCTGATGGTATGTTGTCAAAAGTTTCTTAATTTTGTAATATCTTATTGTTAAAGGTTTCTCTCTTCCTTTGTTAAGTAACTAGTAATAATTTCAATAAATTTGAAGTGAGGTAGAAATAATTTCAGTGACATGATTCAGGATTTACAAACATCACAATTAACAAATAAAGGTCTGCAGAGTCTGGAATAGGGACTCCTACAAAATAGATTATATAATTTAATGTTTTATTTAAAATATTGGAGACTTCTTGACTTTGTTTTTTCAAATATTACACAGATGTTTATTGGTGATAGAAATCTGGACTACGTGATCTATTTGTTTTGTTTGTAGATGATTACTGGACAGCAAACCAAAATATGAAGGAATGTCGTGATTTTCGTCTGTCTGTGGAGGCTCGATATGAAGTAGCTGGCAAGCTCTTCCACATGCACTGTATAACACCTCCCCTGAGTAATGCAAGTAAGTAAGGCATGGTTATACAATGTAAGTAATCTATAGGTATATAAATGACGACACTAGCAATGACTGTAGGAAATTTAGCACTAATAATGGCAGTGATATTTCAAATGAACATCATAGAGTGAGATGATGTATTTGTGAGATGCTCTCTGGCGATTCCTACTGTTGTACATCATGCAAGAGAAATATTAACTAACTCAGCACATGGAAAAAGCATTTGACAAATCAGTGAAGTTAAACTCACAAAGCAATATCATGACATGTTTTATGCTCCTTTCAAGTTTTCAATGTATTGGCAGCAATTTAAGATGTTAACAGCTGGTCAGCTGTATGGAACAATAGATACATAATAGTTCTGTTCACCATTGGAAATGGTCAGTTTTTGGTCAGTATTTCATAAAAAAACTTTTAAGATAGAGAATTTTTATGTAAAGCACTATGTTTTTAAGCCAGTGTAAACACTACAAACTGACACCTTTTTGGTCATAAAATTTGATGGTAAAGGAAAAGGAAAGAATGATTTTGCTGTGCTAAATGAAGTTGACAAAAGAGATAGAAACTAGTTTGCTCTTCCATCCATCTGTCCTTCCAATCCTCAAATCTTTCATTCTTTAATTTGTCCCTATCATTGGTAAGGAAACATTCCCCTCTCTATCTTCGATACTGTAACTGCTACACGGATTAGTATTACATCAATAATGCCATTAGTATTGCTTAATGAACACCTGTCGTGAATTTCAACCCTGTGAGAGTCTATTTAATTTTATCAACATGTCCCTCATTGAGTAGTCTCCCTTTGCTTGCCCTTACAGAAGAAGGAAAGTGCTTTATGATACACAGGATTATGCCTTATGTCTCTCCGGCATCTGGTATACACAAGTCTGAGGATTACATCATCATCGTCCTTACTGCTGACTCCTACATCCCTAAAAGTAGGTACACATTAATTTTCTTCTGAATTACTAGGAATGTCATGAATAGATGCTTCCATATAACAATCATTTCAAAAAGTTTGTGTGACGCTTGGATGACTACACTGTCACCTTCATCATAGATATGACCGGTTTGAAGTGTATTGGCACTGAGGTATACGGTTTATGAGATGTGATGTGATCAGCATTTTCTCTATAGCTGTAGTATAATCTTCAGTACAATGAGGTGGAAAGTATTGTGACACGATGGTGATAAGATTATAGCAAAAACAGGTCAAATCGGTGATCTTCCCTTTGTACATTATCCTATTCCATGAAACTGGATTTAACTCTACTTATTTAAAACCTGTAACATTAATGATTGAAGTCAGATGCCATAGGTTTTTATTATCTGTTTGTGTTTGTTTTCTGTCTCCAGGTGTGCAGGTGGAGTTTGTAGATGAAGAAGTAGGATGGTCAGCAATGGCAACCAGGGTCAACATAATCAAGAATGTAAGACTGCACTTTAATCTATATCACTCCTATACAACTTACACATTAGTCTGTCTCTGTCCTACAATGTAGGTACTCCTATACAACTTACACATTAGTCTGTCACTGTCCTACAATGTAGGTACTCCTATACAACTTACACATTAGTCTGTCTCTGTCCTACAATGTAGGTACTCCTATACCACTAACACATTAGTCTGTCTCTGTCCTACAATGTAGGTACTCCTATACCACTAACACATTAGTCTGTCTCTGTCCTACAATGTAGGTACTCCTATACCACTAACACATTAGTCTGTCTCTGTCCTACAATGTAGGTACTCCTATACCACTAACACATTAGTCTGTCTCTGTCCTACAATGTAGGTACTCCTATACCACTAACACATTAGTCTGTCTCTGTCCTACAATGTAGGTACTCCTATACCACTTACACATTAGTCTGTCTCTGTCCTACAATGTAGGTACTCCTATACCACTAACACATTAGTCTGTCTCTGTCCTACAATGTAGGTACTCCTATACCACTAACACATTAGTCTGTCTCTGTCCTACAATGTAGGTACTCCTATACCACTAACACATTAGTCTGTCTCTGTCCTACAATGTAGGTACTCCTATACCACTTACACATTAGTCTGTCTCTGTCCTACAATGTAGGTACTCCTATACCACTAACACATTAGTCTGTCTCTGTCCTACAATGTAGGTACTCCTATACCACTAACACATTACTCTGTCTCTGTCCTACAATGTAGGTACTCCTATACCACTAACACATTAGTCTGTCTCTGTCCTACAATGTAGGTACTCCTATACCACTAACACATTAGTCTGTCTCTGTCCTACAATGTAGGTACTCCTATACCACTAACACATTAGTCTGTCTCTGTCCTACAATGTAGGTACTCCTATACCACTAACACATTAGTCTGTCTCTGTCCTACAATGTAGGTACTCCTATACCACTAACACATTAGTTGGTCTCTGTCCTACAATGTAGGTACTCCTATACCACTAACACATTACTCTGTCTCTGTCCTACAATGTAGGTACTCCTATACCACTAACACATTAGTCTGTCTCTGTCCTACAATGTAGGTACTCCTATACCACTAACACATTAGTCTGTCTCTGTCCTACAATGTAGGTACTCCTATACCACTAACACATTAGTCTGTCTCTGTCCTACAATGTAGGTACTCCTATACCACTAACACATTAGTCTGTCTCTGGCCTACAATGTAGGTACTCCTATACCACTAACACATTAGTCTGTCTCTGTCCTACAATGTAGGTACTCCTATACCACTAACACATTAGTTGGTCTCTGTCCTACAATGTAGGTACTCCTATACCATTAACACATTACTCTGTCTCTGTCCTACAATGTAGGTACTCCTATACCACTAACACATTAGTTGGTCTCTGTCCTACAATGTAGGTACTCCTATACCACTAACACATTAATCTGTCTCTGTCCTACAATGTAGGTACTCCTATACCACTAACACATTAGTTGGTCTCTGTCCTACAATGTAGGTACTCCTATACCACTAACACATTACTCTGTCTCTGTCCTACAATGTAGGTACTCCTATACCACTAACACATTAATCTGTCTCTGTCCTACAATGTAGGTACTCCTATACCACTAACACATTAGTCTGTCTCTGTCCTACAATGTAGGTACTCCTATACCACTAACACATTAGTCTGTCTCTGTCCTACAATGTAGGTACTCCTATACCACTAACACATTAGTCTGTCTCTGTCCTACAATGTAGGTACTCCTATACCACTAACACATTACACATTAGTCTGTCTCTGTCCTACAATGTAGGTACTCCTATACCACTAACACATTAGTCTGTCTCTGTCCTACAATGTAGGTACTCCTATACCACTAACACATTAGTCTGTCTCTGTCCTACAATGTAGGTACTCCTATACCACTAACACATTAGTCTGTCTCTGTCCTACAATGTAGGTACTCCTATACCACTAACACATTAGTCTGTCTCTGTCCTACAATGTAGGTACTCCTATACCACTAACACATTAGTCTGTCTCTGTCCTACAATGTAGGTACTCCTATACCACTAACACATTAGTCTGTCTCTGTCCTACAATGTAGGTACTCCTATACCACTAACACATTAGTCTGTCTCTGTCCTACAATGTAGGTACTCCTATACCACTAACACATTAGTCTGTCTCTGTCCTACAATGTAGGTACTCCTATACCACTAACACATTAGTCTGTCTCTGTCCTACAATGTAGGTACTCCTATACCACTAACACATTAGTCTGTCTCTGTCCTACAATGTAGGTACTCCTATACCACTAACACATTAGTCTGTCTCTGTCCTACAATGTAGGTACTCCTATACCACTAACACATTAGTCTGTCTCTGTCCTACAATGTACCACTAACACATTAGGTACTCCTATACCACTAACACATTAGTCTGTCTCTGTCCTACAATGTAGGTACTCCTATACCAATAACACATTAGTCTGTCTCTGTCCTACAATGTAGGTACTCCTATACCACTAACACATTAGTCTGTCTCTGTCCTACAATGTAGGTACTCCTATACCACTAACACATTAGTCTGTCTCTGTCCTACAATGTAGGTACTCCTATACCACTTACACATTAGTCTGTCTCTGTCCTACAATGTAGGTACTCCTATACCACTAACACATTAGTCTGTCTCTGTCCTACAATGTAGGTACTCCTATACCACTAACACATTAGTCTGTCTCTGTCCTACAATGTAGGTACTCCTATATAACTTACACTTTACTCTGTCTCTGGCCTACAATGTAGGTACTCCTATACCACTAACACATTAGTCTGTCTCTGTCCTACAATGTAGGTACTCCTATACCACTAACACATTAGTCTGTCTCTGTCCTACAATGTAGGTACTCCTATACCACTCACACATTAGTCTGTCTCTGTCCTACAATGTAGGTACTCCTATACCACTCACACATTAGTCTGTCTCTGTCCTACAATGTAGGTACTCCTATAACACTTACACATTAGTCTGTCTCTGTCCTACAATGTAGGTACTCCTAACACATAGTCTGTCTCTGTCCTAACTTACACTTTAATCTGTCTCTGTCCTACAATGTAGGTACTCCTATACCACTAACACATTAGTCTGTCTCTGTCCTACAATGTAGGTACTCCTATATAACTTACACTTTGCTCTGTCTCTGTCCTACAATGTAGGTACTCCTATACCACTAACACATTAGTCTGTCTCTGTCCTACAATGTAGGTACTCCTATACCACTAACACATTAGTCTGTCTCTGTCCTACAATGTAGGTACTCCTATATAACTTACACTTTACTCTGTCTCTGGCCTACAATGTAGGTACTCCTATACCACTCACACATTAGTCTGTCTCTGTCCTACAATGTAGGTACTCCTGTACAACTTACACATTAGTCTGTCTCTGTCCTACAATGTAGGTACTCCTATACCACTAACACATTAGTCTCTGTCCTACAATGTAGGTACTCCTATACCACTAACACATTAGTACAATGTAGGTACTCCTATACCACTAACACATTAGTCTGTCTCTGTCCTACAATGTAGGTACTCCTATACCACTAACACATTAGTCTGTCTCTGTCCTACAATGTAGGTACTCCTATACCACTAACACATTAATCTGTCTCTGTCCTACAATGTAGGTACTCCTATACCACTAACACATTAGTCTGTCTCTGTCCTACAATGTAGGTACTCCTATACCACTAACACATTAGTCTGTCTCTGTCCTACAATGTAGGTACTCCTATACCACTAACACATTAGTCTGTCTCTGTCCTACAATGTAGGTACTCCTATACCACTAACACATTAGTCTGTCTCTGTCCTACAATGTAGGTACTCCTATACCACTAACACATTAGTCTGTCTCTGTCCTACAATGTAGGTACTCCTATACCACTAACACATTAGTCTGTCTCTGTCCTACAATGTAGGTACTCCTATACCACTAACACATTAGTCTGTCTCTGTCCTACAATGTAGGTACTCCTATACCACTAACACATTACTCTGTCTCTGTCCTACAATGTAGGTACTCCTATACCACTAACACATTAATCTGTCTCT